GCGTATAACTCAAACCCCGTGTCCCCATAAATATGCAGGTGCAGGTAGCATCCAGCTGATATTTTGAGATTTTTCTCTCACTTTACTACCCATGTGCTGTGGTGTGGGGGGTGATGTCATTTGTTTGTGTGTGCAGTCATGTTTCCATGTTTCTAAGTGTGTACACCATTCCGTTTCAATGCTGCTTACTCTCCCAAAGGGACAGTAGGATTGTCCAGATAAATCATCTTCAGCCGGGCAGCCAAACCACACAGAAGATAGGGGGGGGGAAATGCAAGTAAGGAACACAAAATGAATCAAAGTGGAAAAAAAAGTTTAATGAAGTTGAAATGATTAAAGTGGGATCACTATAGAAGAATGCAAACTACACCATATTCTAGGTTTGAATGTTGTAGCTAAAATGAAAAGCCACATTTTCCTTGCTCTTACTGCGGTTTCCGATCACAACAGCCAAAGCAACAGTAGAGCCAGAATTATGTGTGAGGGGAGATGGATTGCCAGCCATATTTTTGAGCCCTTGGGTAAAAGGAGCCAGTCCTCGGGATGCACTGAACACGTAATCAAGCCAAGAAGCAACAGATGACTCCTCCTACTGCCCCCTGTTTTTCTACTTCTCCTCTACTTGCAGTCAGTTTATGCCATCTATCTATTAAACTACAAATACTTAATAGACAGCTGTTGCAGGTGTTTATCTTAATACTAATGTGCTAAAGATGAGTAAGATTTCTCTATTTTGGTTGAAAAAAGGACTATTCAGACTAGATTTTAACAAACCTTTTAGAACTGTTCTTTCTCCAAACATGAGAAATAACACAATGTTTCTGGTATTGTACAGTAATACACTAACTCCATTGTCATGTCATTGATGAGAATGGAAGCTGTCCATTTGTAATCCCTGTGTCACAGATACGTTTAAATATGTAATAAGAAACAATGATGAAATTGAGTAAAAACACTCTTTGCTTTCAGTTAAAAGTGAGACTCACCGGACGGTTGATTGATACACAAGATCTTCACGCCTGCGGTAGTCCTCCATATGAGAGTAATTTGTATTAAACATGGCATCATAGGTGAAGATTTTCTGCTTGATTGTACCTCCATCTGTGACCTGTAAAGAATAGAAAACCCATTATCAGAGCTGTAGGTATCCACAAAAGCCTTATGAATACTTTTATTCCTTAGCCTGCAGACCAGTTTGCACTCTGCTTTCTTTTGTATATTAGAAGCAGACACATTGATATCACACATTCTAATAGTAACTAAGGTAAAACATCAAAACCCTGCTGATATGGTAACATCACAGAGAAGGTCTCTCATCCCCCCACCAGTGTTTGTCCAGAGACATGGCTAAAATATAATGAGGACTGACACAGTGCAGTCTTCTGTATGTGTCAAACCTTGAAGCAGTTCGCTTTCCGCAGATGTAATGGCATGTAACGAGATTCTACAGAGGTGAATGTTCAAAACACTGGTCTCATCTCTTCCTTTTTTAAGCATTGTATCTGATGAGAGAAGTTTTTCTTCCCCTTCTAATATTCAAAGGAGTGCTTAAGTCACTTAGCATTTGAATGAATATGATTTCTCCTCTCCTCAGAAGCTTCAACATCCATAAAGGAAAACTAGTGACAGGATTTTAATGGAGCCACTAACACTGCTTTGAAGATGAAAATTGTTGGTGGGCCAGGGATTCCTTATTTGATGCTGTCGTTCTGATCCAATCAAATCCCCCAAGCACGTAAACAACGTCAAAGCATTTCAGGATTAGTCCTTCTATGCATTGCCACATGAAGCGTTAAAGCTAAATTGTATTTATTTGAGTGAGTGATTGTTCTCTTTGAAAATAGGTTATCTATTATAACTGCTGGCCTCTGAAAAACAAACCTGCTTCTTTGGCATTGTCCAATGAGATACATGAAATTGTATTTAAACTGTAAATTTAAATCTTGTCAAAACCACAGTGAATTCTCATGGAGCAAAGGTGCTCACAAAGCAGTTTTTTTGTGACATTTATTTGTCTGTTTTGCCCCTGCTAGTTGTTTTTTATTCTATGCTGGATTCAGAAAGCAGATCTTGGTGAAAATGTACAGTACAGCATACAATAAGTGGATACAACATCAGGTGATAGTTGTTCTCCTTTTTAGCCAGAAACATAGTCATATATAGCGAACTACAAACAAAGAAATGTTTTGTATGTTCAGATTCAAACTTTTCTGTACAAATCTAAAATCTAAATCACTGTTTTGCAATTATAGAATGCAACTGAAAGTTTCCAGCATGATTACAACTTTGACAAAACACCTACCGTATTTTCCGGTCTATAGAGCGCACTTCACTATAAGTGTACCCACAAAGTTTAAGTAAATAAATAAATATATATATATATATATATATATATATATATATATATATATATATATATATATATATATATATAAGCCGCTGGTATCTTTGCCGCTCTCAGTTTTCCACAATAAATCTGACGCAGTCCTCCTTCTCCTCTTCTACGTGCGGCGGCTCTATTTCCTTCCTGTACCACCAGATCGATAGCCTTCAACTTAAAAGCTGCATCATATGAACTTCTTTTGTTGTTTCCATGATGAGAGGCTATACGTTTAAAAAACATTTCTCCGTCGTGCCTGCTGCTAGCATGTGCTTGTTCTACTTTCTTCTTTGATTTCCAATTTTGACTTCCACTGATTCACTTCCTCCTAATGAGCCCCCCTGGTGGTTGAAGAAAAATCCACAGAAAAGCTGCACCGGGCTATAAGCCGCATGGTTCAAAACGTGGGAAAAAGGTAGCGGCATATAGTCCGAAAAATGCAGTTCTTCTGAGCACCAAAACACATTCTACTGTATAAGCCTCGCTAAACTGGGCAGAAATTCCTCTGTGCACCTCTCCTGTTTGGTACAAATAAATCTTCTTCACACAGCTAAACTATTTGTGCTCTGTTTATTAACATCTACATGCGAAGCATCACTTCCAAAGTCTTAAGGCTTTGACTCTGTAATTAAAATGGGGAGACATAATTTTAAGCACAATTAAGATAATTTATTTGATTTGAATAATTACTTACAAAAATAACAGACAGATCTCATTAGAGTAGAGAATGAATTGTACTTTCTGCAACATCCTTGTACTTTTTTTATTATTATAGTTTTTTTTTTTTTTTATAAATCTAACCGGGCAGCAGTTATTTTTTTTTTCTCTTTTTTTTTCAAAATTTATTACCAGTTGTTTGCAGACATATGTATTTTGTTTTGTAGAATTTGCATCACAGAACTCACTCTCATCTTCAAAAATGGCAAACATTTTGGTCTAGCTCTAAGTCACATAAATTAAAAGCACACACACACACACACACACACTCACGCACACACACATACACACGCAGGTGAGCTTTCCTTAAGTGCATGCATATAACCTAATTACAATATGAGTAAGCTGCATAAATGCACAAATCTGCCCTATGCGTGGTGTTGCTATTTCAGGTGCAGTTCTACCTTTGTGTCCAGTTTCATAAGTATATGTATACAAAAATCTTATATATATATATATATATATATATATATATATATATATATATATATATATATATATATATATATAGCAATGTAAAATCCAATAAAGTATTTGAAACATTTTGTTTGATAACCACACAAACTTGTGTGGTTATCAAACAAAATTTACCACAGTGATCCTTTCAGAAACTTTCTCAAAATAACCAGTAATCATTCAAGCAGCATTGTGGAGCATATTTTGTTAAGCAGCTCACATACAATATATAAACATTGGTTTTCTAAAGCATCTAGAATATATAACTGTGTTTGTGTGCATGTATGCATTTAGACAGCCCTCAGACAGTTCTTCTGCAAAGTATCTTCTCATCATCTATACCCCTTTAATCTTTTAATGGTTTTACCTCTCAATGAAGACTGACCTATAAACCTATGTGTAATAAATCTGAAAGAATCTGCACATCACTGAATGTCTCCCCAAGAGAACCTGGTTGCGGTAAAAAGCTCTGAGTAAGAAAAATAAAACACAGGAAAGGAGAAAAAGAGGGAGTGAAAAAAAGAGACCGAAACAGTACCAAAATGGCTGTACAAGTGGGAGATGAAAGCTCTTTGATTGCAGAAAAGCACCGTTAGGGAAGCAAAGCTTAGCTACAACTGCATTGTTGAATTCAACCCATATAATGCATATGAGGAATACAGGCACCAATCCTCCCCTGTGCTTGGCCATCTGGAGATATCAAAAGGCAGGCGTGAATGGCAGAGAATTAGCCACCCCTTCCTTGTTGGCTTTGTGGCAGAGAGTGGATGTTGGCAAAGGGAATAGTCGTGAGGCAAAAGAAAGGACCATGACAGGTAGCTGACAATGGGGTGGCTTTAAAGGTACTCAAAACAGGATGCCATGCTTCTCCAGGTCTTTAAAGATGGCTGGTTCTCTCAGCAGGTAACTTGCAACCTTTCTGGCAATCCAGCAAAACTGCTATTATAATGATGGCTCCTATTATTGGGGTCAGATTAGGACCGGGACTCAGGGGTTAAACGAAGCCCTCCTCTCTCTCTGTTTGTCTGGGCCAGGCCTATTTATAGGCTGCAGCTGCATCAGCAGCCAGTGGAGGAAATGCAGCTTACACACTGCAAGCATGCTGGAACAGATTTGATCTGAATCCTACTCCATGGTTTTAAACAAAGCCAAGAAAATAACACAGCTTTTCACACAATTTTCAGAGAAGTTAAGAAGATATTACATGTAATATTTATGCTATTTCTAAAAATATGTTTGTGTCTGAAGACAAGGATAACCTGAGTAAAAACAAAATGCAGTTTTCAAAAGATGAATTTATTTGAGGGAGAAAAAAAAAATCAAACCAGTTTGACCCTATATCCAGCTTCTTCCTGCAAAATGCTAATCTGACCCTCATCAAGGTACTAAACCCCAGGGTGCTTACCAACCAGTGTATCAGTAGGCACGTTTAAATGGACACAAGTAATCAGAATAAATCGCCAATTGGAATAAAAATATGTTATGTAAACACACCAGTCGAAATATTCTGATCAGATTCAGTTCAATTGGAATGAAATTGTAATCTGAATGAGAGGGGTGGTTTATGCTGATGTAAACACTTGTAATGATCATGTCAGTCTGACTGTGGCAAAATTTAACTGACTGCACACGTGAGCCCAACGTCACTGTGACATATTTCTGTCTTCAGTGGCTAGACGTGATTTGAGGGAAGCAAAACCAGTCTGTTGGTCTCTCATCCTGAAATGCTGGAAGACCAACAGCATGTGTTACTTGGCCTATAGCTTAATTAGGGAGTGAGTAACATCTCAGCCGTTATTAGAGCCTGCATGGCTTCATTCTGGGCACTCAGAAGACAGAATGATCACACAACTGCATTTGTTTGTTTTTACATTCAGCACAGACTGAAGTACACTTTCTTTTCTGATGATGTGTTTTAAGTGAACTTTTGCAACTCTGCATGCTGGTGTTTTTATTTTGAATAAAGTCTGATCCATTAGTGGGATTAATCGATTTTGTGCCCATATAGACAATAACTTTGGATTATTTAATCTGAATACATTTCAATGCCATCAAGGAACTTTGTGCATTTAAACATTGTGTATCTGTACGTTAGGGAATGAATGTGGCTCCAGTGTAAAGTGCTTTGAGTAATCAGTAAGAGTCAAAAACACCATAGACCATTTGCCATTTCCATTTATATTAATAAGTACAGATAAGGACAGAACAATAATTAACTTAAAGAAATCAGTTGCAAGTCATTCTTTAGACTGCCATTGAATCTTTTGACAAGATAATGGCCCAAAGTATACCTGCTAGATCAGGGGTCCCCAAACTTTTTCCTGCGAG